CTTTAAAACACATTTCCAGAAAGCCACATAACATTCTGTATGGAGCAGAGGTGGCACTGCTGTCGAGTGTTCAGGTGTCTGCTTGGAAGCAATTCATCACTGCTACCTGCTGGCAAGAACCCCCTTTTGCTCCCCGTTGGTGCATGATTTTGCACTGACTGGCCCAGTAGCATTAGTGTGATGGATCTGTGCAATCACAAAGGCACACTGCCTCTGTGTTGTTTGAAAAAAGTGTTGTAAAATTAATGTCCCTGGTTATCTGTGCTTATAAGCTAATCATGCTTTGGTAAATTTTACCTGTGTGGGTGATCTACCAAGTAATGTTTTCGATGTTATTACACACTGGCCAAAGAAGTGAAAGCAACCATGTCACGTGTGTTTCTCTTGTTCTGGGAGATTCTGCATACTCTTCACAAGTATGTCTGCTGAAGTTTTTAATGCATATTTACATCCAAACTACATAGATTGGATGTTAACAGAGCACACATTTGGGAGACCAAAGGGTAAATGATGGTCATGATCAGAAAGAATGAGGCAGCTAAGGAGTGCTTATAACTGCATATTATGTTTTCAAAAAGTGAAAAGGAGAGGCCTTGCTCAGGTCTGCAGAGTGGGTGTTTGAAGACTTCAGAAAGCTTTGAACAACCTACAGATACATGTGTTGCCTAGATTCAGGAACAAGGTGAATATTGTTGGGATAAGCTTCCAGAGATTCTTGAGAAGAGACCATTGTGTTTGTGTGATGTGCCATGCTCTGTCTCTGGTTTGCTCATCTAAGTTTATGGAGTATATGTAGTAGTGTGGCAGACAGACTTCCTTGTTATGCTGGTTTGGCCTAATAACTGCATAAAACTTTAACAGAATGAAGTCTCTCAGGTGGTTGCATGTGATGTTGGTGCAGTTTGTGGCTGCTTGCTGTGCGCATTTTGTTTTCCTCTATGAATTCTCTGTGCTGAAATTTGCACTCACCCAAGCATAAGTGCAGATCTGTAAATGTGAGAATACATTCTGTTGGGTTACAACGAGGGCAGAATATATTCTTCATGTTATGTCAAAAGTCAATTCCTGCATTTTGTTAACTCTGGAATAATTTTTTTTACGTTCCCATGGGTTTCTCCTTTACATGAGTTTAAAGCTTGAGCACTGTAGTATATTTCTGCTGCATAAAATCAAAATATGAAACTGGATGTTCTTTTTTTATTAGCAGGAGTAGTAGTGGCAAAGAAGCATAAAGTCTGAAGTTGAGACAGATGAATCAAATGAGCAAATACATTTGTATAAACAAAGATGACTTTTTTTTCTCATTGCTGGAGAGTACAGACTGTCAGTGTAAGAATCTGGTCTTTACCAGTGAAGGTTGTTTGCTGTGACTTTATGCTGTCTCAGCTTGTCTCTCTAAATGTCATCATGGCCAATTTTCCACCTGTACTTGTTCCTGTTTGTAATATTGACTGCTACTATCCAGTATTCTGAAATTACTTGTGATAGTAAAGCTAGCATTACTTTAAACACTATAACATAGGAGATAAAACCTTTGAAGAGTTGTAAAAAAATACTTTTAACATTTGAGATTTCAAGAATTCCTTTGAAATTTAATACCTATGTTTATTTTGTTCTTCTTGTTTTCAGTCTCATTTTTCTTACATGTGTGAAGTCATATTTTTCCACAGAAAAGTTCATAGAGGAGCAAGAAAATTTGTGCCGAAGCTAAGTTTGTTAAGATTTAACTGCTGCAGGAGAAACCGACTTGAGTTTATGGCAATCTGTTATTTTTTTTTTGCTTCAGGTGCGAGAAGATGTGTTAAACTCCTTGAATAACAACTTTCTACAAACACTAAACCAAGCGTGGAACGATCATCAAACAGCAATGGTGATGATTAGAGACATTCTGATGTATATGGTGGGTATTCTGCTATTTCACACATTTAGCTGTGCAGTAAATTCTTTTGACAAATCCAAACAAATAAAATGGAGAGATAAAAAGCAAGGCTTGCTTACCACTCCTTTTCCCAAGACTGTTCTCTGTCCCTTGTTTTGAATTTCCCATGCAATACTCTTGTATGCATAGGTGTTTGACCAAATGTAATTGGTTTCTTCTTTTAGATTATCTCATTATCACTTGAAAAATTAATCTGAAAAATGGTTGAACTTTGCAATTCTTGAAAGCTAAGCTGGTCAGACCCATTCTGGCAGGTTATAGATGTGATTTGCCTGTTGTAGTTCACGTAGCAGTGTTTTCTTACTGTGGAAAGCATGATGGTGTAAAGTCTCCTCAGGCTTCCAATGTAGTTGTTCTTTAAGGTTAAGGATTTGAAGAGGATAACTTTGGTACAGTGTGTGTCCTTGAATGTTAAATTCCAGCTGAATCCTTTCCTGTTCATACAGAGCTTGGGTACAAGATTGTGGTGTACATAGATGAGAATGTGATCTCTGGTTGCAGGCTTGCAATTTCTTACCTACATTAAACAGAAAAGGCTTTTTTTTTGGAGAGAAGGCCTAACATTTTTGTCTCTGGATTGTGTTATGCTTTAGGTAGTTGGTATGTATTTAAATTCCCATAGTGGTGGGCATGCTCTAGGATGCAGGAGAGTATTTTTGCTTAGCTTCTAACCAAAGGCTTTGAGTTGACAAAGAAGAGAAAAACTTGTTGAGATTCTGTGGTTTTTTTATATAAAATAATTTTTTGCCAAAATATCATACTAAAGATAGTACTTTATGCAGTATTAGACAGTGAAGGACAGACAGTGATGGCAATTTTTTGGTAAAAAATGGTAATTAACTGGAATTGTTCTCTATCTGCTGAAAAACTGGAGTTAAGATCTCATCTTGTAGCTGTTAAAGATCTCACCCTATCACACTGACCATGTTTGTATTAGCTGTGAAGTCCCCTTTGGTTAATAAGCTGCTAAAAGTTAAAGAATTTGGACTGATTAATAACATGATTTTTTTTTTTAATGGATTTAGTGGCCTTCATGTTGAGGGTTGGTTTTGTTTTATTTCAGTTGGGAAAAGACCAAAATCTAGAGGGCTGGATAAAATGCCTTCAAGTGACACTGAACAATTTGTCTATTTTTATCTTGCCAAAAGGAAGATGGAGAGATTATTTTCAAAATGTACTGTCTTTGCTGTGAGAAATCCTGGAATCTCTAATCTGTTTGTGAAGGACAAATACAAATCAATTGCTGCAAGATGCAACTAGGCAAATTCAAGAATAGTTAAGGATTAGATTAATCTACCAAAGCTAGTGGTGAATTTTTAGAAATGTTAGAAGATGGAATCCAGAGCTTTCCAGGGGAATAGCTGTTGTGTTTTAGCCAAATATTATATATTATTTCAGTACAGAAGGTGCTGGATACTCCAAGGTAATGGGTAATGCCATGTTATCTCCTACTCTTAAAATCAGTAAATTTTTGATCCTTCAAAGCGTGGCAGAGAAAATTGGCTTATCAGCTTTTCCTGTTTCAGTGTGTTGACCAGTATATTAAGGACCAAAGGGCTCCCTCTTTGAGGAAGGGATACATACTGCAGTTACCACTTCTGGGGGAAAAGGAGAGCTGTTTACCAGTTTACCAAGTATTCTTTGCACTCAGAGAGCAATGCCTTGGCTTTGGTTTAAAGCTTGTGAGTGCTGTTCAAACATCCAGACAGCCTTTTCTTTTCCACCAAAATTTCGGGGGATGGAAACCTGCAGCATTCCTACAAGTGCAAATTGGACTTCATGGGTTATCTTTTAGATTCAGAACAGAATAATAAATAAACTTTCATACCTCTGGATTATATTCCATGTGCTGTTTGACAGTCCCTAATTATTTCAGGTGGGTGTTCAGTTGAGCCCTCTGCTTGACTAATTATTTGCCTTCCATTGATTTTTTTTTTCCTTGTATCAAAGTAAGACCCAAAGAAACAGAAAAAACACATCTAAAATAAAATATATTTCTAGTATAATAGTAAAAATACAACAAAATTTTCTTCCAAAATGCTTATATAAACTTGTCAAGCTTTAGGAGTGCTGATGTCTGTTTGTTAAACCTCTGTAACGTAACATGGGGTTATAACAGAACTATCTAATGCAAGGAGCTGATGCAATGGGCACACTTCCTTCTTTTCTTTGACTTGGAGGGGCATAAGACAAATTGTCAATCGAAAATACAGGCTTTGATTACAAATTGAAGTATAAGCTATAGTTCAAAATAGGATTATTTTCAAAGATTTGCAGTTTCATCTTTGTCAGTGGGATGTCATCTTGAGTCAAACACAATTTGCTTCATTCAAAAGAGACTTTAGAGCAGGAAACTTCCAGTCTTGAGTATGTGTTCGTCCCAAAAGTTTGGAATTTTGGAAATTAGTTTTGTGGCTGCTAGTGCCACAAAATCATACAGTAATGGAACACCTGTGAAAGATGAGACCTGACTGCTCTTCAAAGAAACAATTTTCAAGAACTTCATAAAATAACGAATGATTTGTTCTTTTATGATGTTGAGTCTGAGTGACATGTAGGATTATAGTGATATGCTTATGTCAGAAGTTGTTTGTATGTTTTTATTCAAGCACAGCTACTATAACTGACATGAAAAATATTTTATCTGTAAAAGCCAAACAGTGTATAAACTCAGTCACCAGGCACTGTTAATTGATATGCTTGTGTTCTACCAGACGTATATGCAATTATCATATGTTTGTAAGTAAAGCATAACCCAATCCTTCTCTTATTTTGTAGGCCATCTCAATTAGCCATCAGTTTCAGGAAATGTACCTGTTGCCCAACAGACCATGTAACATCAGTGAAAGTAAAACATTTAACATCCTCTTGAGTTCTGGTCTTACTCTCTTAAATTCTTACCTCAGCCTAGTGATTGTACATCTTAAACTCTAACTGTTTTAATGCCACATTTGTTTTCCAGCTTTGTTTCACCCATTGGCTGTCATATGATTTAAGTCAGAACAAACACTTCTCCAGCACACCTTAATCTCTTTCCCCTATTTAATTTTGCTACTTTTGAAATAAAAATAAATTCAAATAGATCTTTTTTTAGAAAGGCATGAGTTTTGCACATTGGGGTTTCTGCATTATGATACTTAATGACTAGAATACTTGCTGTTTGAGGTTTATGGCAGGATTTCATTGTATGTGCAGAACCTCTTCCACAAGCACTAAATTACCTTGTTTCTTGTGATACTCTCTGGTGAAAGTCTGTTGGTTTCAGGTCTGCTGCAGGTGTAGTGTGAGGTTTTGTAACCTTTTGCATAGTAAAGATTTGTCGTGACTTTATTGAGACATTCCAGTTTCCACGACTGAATTTCAAGTTTATGCAGTTCCAGTGTATGTTGTAGGATACAGCACTAGCTCTCTTCCTTTTTGCTTTGCATGTTTAGGCTACAATAATCAGTGCCAGAGTAGATGTAATACTCTCCATAACTTCATGGCACTGTCTGCAGTGAGCAGTGAGGCACCAAAGCACCAAAGTCATGTTCTAAGTAACATCTTTGCTGAGTCAGGCACATACATGTTGAAGCAGTGAAGTGATGCACTACAGTTGGGCATAGCTGAAATTCAGCCTCACAGCAGCAGTGTAAGCATGTCCACAGTGGGTTTATTTAACTGCTGTATGTTATGGTAGCAGTGGAGGTGCAGTTGTTTGGTCTTCAAGCAACACTGAGTGTGAGAATTCTTAGAATGTGTGATGGAAACTGGGTTAAACTGGATTCTGTGGTGTTCCTTCTCTATTACTTGTTACTTGCTAAATTTAAAGTGATTTCAGGTATGTGAGTGCAGCAGTCACACCCCTGGCTGTGTTATAGGCATATGGGCAGTGCCAGTTACACACCATCAGAAATGAACAATTGCTCCTGCAAATACAGCTGTGTATTTTTCAGGGGGCAGAGAATTCCCTTCTCATCTGTGCTGTGCACAAAGATGGTGTCTTTTTTTTTAAGCCAGCACTGACAGATTGGATATGCGAGTTTTGACCTCAGGGCATGTGTCTCTTACTGTCCATACCTTACACACAAGGTAAAAGGGAGAAATTGTTGTTTTTATTTCCAGAACTAGCATCAAAGACACTTACTATATAGACAAAGTCAAGGGTGTCTGAAGGCTGCACCATCCAGGTCCTGTGCAGAGATGGGCAAAACATGGCTGGTGATATTTCACAGTAGGTAACTTTAGTTCAGATCAGAATTCTGCAGTATAAGCAGGACTGTAGTTTATGAATAATTGCTGCCTGAAACTCCACCCTTGTCTTCTAAAAGTTACTCTTACCTTTAATAACCCGCTGCTTCTCCCTGTGGGAGGTGATTGCTGTGCAGTAGTGTGTGTAGCCTCATCAGTCAAACCTGTTCCCCACTGGGGCTTTCTCTCTATGATTACTTTTTTTGGATTGGGAGAGCTTCCAGTAAACAGTAAATGTGATCTGTTACCAAGGGTGAGCAAATCAGCAGTATCAGAAATGTTAATGTTGCTGCTCTGGTTTGGGTATTGTAGAGTGGTCTGGCTTACTACAGAGGCATGCTGATACACTGAGAGGAGTTTCTAGTGCAGTTACTATTTTGTGATGGCACTGTTTAGCACTGCCACAACAGAAGCTATGCAGATGAGTCATGGCTTTAATCCTTTTAGATACCCTGCTGCCTGTGCTTTAGAGGCCTGAATATTTTTGGGGAATGATATATTCTTTTCTCCTCAAGTCACATAGTATATTAGATGTTACTTTTTAATTTACTCTTTCATCTCTTTGAAAATATATTTTAAGCTTGTCTTACTTGAGAATCCCATTTACTTCTGTTCTTGATGCAAGTGTGTAAATAAGGAAGTGAAATAAACAACCTTGTTTGTAAATAATGAAAAATGAAGTACATATTCCAAAGACCCAGACCACCATGTATCACTAAACTAACTTCATGAGACCAACTAGTAAACATTTTGCTTTGAGGCAGAATTGAGCTTTCTTCACGAGCCACAGAGAAGGCATATCTGACCTGTTCCCAGCTTGTTTTTTTCATTTAAATCAGCTGCTGCCTGTCTGAAGGGAGAGAGTGGGAAATCATTCGTTAATAGCAGAACCCAGTGTTTTGCTTTCCTCTGGTCACCAAGTGGCAATCTGGCACATAATTAATATATAAAAACTTCACCATGTAAGTTCAGCTGCTAAACTGTGTGCTGTCTTTTCCTTCTGATTTTTTGTAACTGTGGGATTTACATAAACTTGTGATTTTGTAATCTGTTTTCCACAGTCTGAAGCATAACATTTGTTCTTTTAATGGTTTCATTTTCTGGGTGTTTGAGTAGCTTTACTCTGCAATACTGAGTGTGATAAAGCTCTTAAGATAGTTGACAGAACCATGGAGAAGCTGATCTTTATACACAATTTCAAACATCGACCTTCATCCTTTATAGATGTTTTTTATTATTATTATTTTTTATTATTATGTTGTTATAGCTATGTACATTCTCAGAAAACCATATCCCACTCAGATTTATGAGTGGGTACAAAACTCTAATTTTTTCTAATATCATTGTCCTGATGCTTAAATGGTAGCAAAGCAGTATTTTTAGTAATTACTCAAGCTATGATTTTAGAGGAATGGATTATTCCCTGACAGAAATGAAGAAAAATAATTATTGCTCATCTCAGAAAAAGGTTGTAAAAGCTCACCGTTTTTCTACTCAGTGTTGTTTTGATGGGTCTTACCTGGTACAGCACTAGTAACTATTAAGCAAATACATGCATTTTCTGTCTGCTAGTAACTTTATTAATAGCCTGCCTTTTCTAGAGAGTTGAGGAGTTGGGAGAGAGGAATAGGAAAGGGGAGACAAATTTCTGGAGCCCTTCTGTGGGTGGCAATAAGAAATCAGGATCTGCTCAGTAATGTCTCAGTCAACTCCATACGATAGATTTTGGGCTATGAGGTCTTGGAATGCTGATCTGAGGATCAGTGTCAGTTTGTAAATGTAGGTGGATAAAAAAGTAGATAGTTGAGGAACTTGATCATTCCTATAGGCTGAGATTATGTAGGGAGATGGAATTTAAACCCATATTGAAACAAAAAAATATTCTTCTTTTGCCATTCTTTTCTTTTTTGAGTGTTTGTGTATGTGTGCAATTATAATGAAAAATAACATTTCCTCAAGTTGAATGAAAGTGAATTTTTTTTCATGGGAGGGGAGGGTGTCAACAGAAGTCCTTCTGTACAATTTTGCAGTACCAATCCATAAAGATTGCGATTGCAACTCTTCTCATTTTGGCTTTACTTTTTCTTCTGTTCATCTAATGATGCTCTTTCAGGAGATGTCATTGAATATTGCATTTTGGTTGCCTAAAAGGAGTAGTAGGAAGATGCATGGGGAGGTGAGGAAAAATTGTAGGAAAATGAATTAAGATCAGAAAGGGGAAGGGGTTTGAGTAGGTAAGTAAGACCTCTTTCAGATTGTGCCCTGAATTTTGTCAGTAGTTGGAGGTTCCTCTGCACCCAGACTAAAAAGTGTCAAGGCTGTAGATTTGTTCTGCCATGCTTTAGCAGTAGACTTCCAGTGTAAATGAAGTTTTGGAAAAGGGGGGACTGGTTTTGAATTTTGAGGGTATTCATAATTTTTTTCTACGGAGAAAGGCACTGTACAGAAATAATCGATCTCTTTTATTTTTGAATAGCACAGATGCACTGAATTGACAGTTTTATTGCTGTGTGTGCCTTTGTAGGACCGTGTGTATGTGCAACAAAATAATGTGGAGAACGTCTACAATTTGGGCTTGATTATTTTTCGAGATCAAGTAGTTCGCTACGGCTGCATTAGGGATCACCTGCGGCAAACTCTGCTGGATATGATTGCAAGAGAAAGGAAAGGAGAAGTTGTAGACAGGTAAGATGTTTGTAAGTGACTGTCTTTAGTTATAAATAATGAATGAGTCAAGAACATACACAAACAATTAATTAGGCTTAAGGCTGCACGATTCAGATTTCTCCATAATCTGAAATATTTCTCGTACATTAAGTTTTAGCATAGTGGTAAATGGGGAAGCTTGTTAATGCATTTTTTTAATATTTATCACGTGGTTTTTATTTAAACTTTTATTAAATGTCTCCATTACCCCAATGTGCTGGAGTGTTTAGTTATAAAGCAAAGTTTTGACAATTCTCTGCCTCTTGTTTGCTGTCGTGTGTTTTCTCTGTATTGAGAGGTTGTTTAATTTTTTTGTACCTATTTATTTATTTTTTTATTACATTTCCTCTTTTAATTCCAATTCCTTTTCCTTTCAATCCATTTGTTTCTTGGTAGGTGAGTTGCATCTCTAAGCTTTTAAATCTGTTTCACAGCTTCTCTGGCAAGTTTAGATGTGGAGTTTTGTGCCACACACTGCAGATACTGCAGCTGAAGGGACTTCAAATTTGCAAGTTTTCTTGTGCTTCTCCAGTTTCAGAACAGCTGTTGGGTGTGGGGATGTGTAAAATCCTTGCTACTTTGGCTGCAGTTCTGTGACTGAGATTGCAATTTATGAAGAGAAAGAATACTCCCTGGCTACAGCTGTGTATTGTCCCCTACTGCCAGGAAGTGGAATTTTTTTTCTGGATGCAGTTCCTTTGTTTTCATTAACTTGCTGATACATTTTTATTTTGGGGGGGTGTTTTGGTTTTTATTAAACAGCCAACCAACAAAAAATACTTAAACTTTTCACAGCAAATTCCATGTGTGCAGTTATTTTAAATTGCTCAGTTCTGACCTACACATGCAGTTTTCTTTGAAGTAGTATTTTGGTTTATTTTCTTGTATATTGAAACATACTCTTCAGTCTTGCAAGCTAGTAGAACTTGAGACCTGCTTCCCTATCACTGCATTTAAAATATTTAATAAACATTATCAGCTCTTTAGTTTTGAACAAAACCAAACAATGTTGCTGGTATAATCTTCTTGAAAATGTGTCATGTATCAAAACAGATTTAGAATGGACTTTCTATTACTATATTTTATTTAATACCATGTTACAAGTTGTTATTCTGCTGTGTACTCTGTTTTACAAGCCCGTTGATTTCTCAAGTTGTTAACAACTTACTTTTTGGCAGAGGCGCAATAAGAAATGCTTGCCAGATGTTAATGATTCTAGGTCTTGAAGGAAGGTCAGTCTATGAAGAAGACTTTGAGGCTCCATTTTTGGAGATGTCTGCAGAATTTTTTCAGGTATGGCAGTGTTCTAATCTCCTGTTTGGAATGTTGTTGTAACTCCCTGGAATTGTGAGAATTGATGGTCCTTTAAATACTTGTTGCTTATTTGATGAGTATGTCCATATCCATTAAATTAAATAAGAAAAATAAGGACTAACTTTGCGGGGGAAAAGTAACACAGATTCTACAGAATTAGCATAATTTGAATGTAGTTTTGAGCTGTGGGTGCCAATAACACGTGAAGTAATCATTATGCTAATCTTGTGCCTGCTGCTTTAGGCTATTTCATGCAACTGAGTCTACCCCTGCATTGCCCCCACAGTCTTTTTGAAATACCAGTAGCATGAAAGGTTCAAACTATTTCAGCCTGGGAAACCTGTCAAACTGCCTTGGAGGAAGCTTTTTCCTTCATAGTATCTACATTTGTGAGCTGTTTTTTGTAATAAAATGAACTGAGTCAAGGAATTAAGTGTAAGCAAGTGGCTCTCCAGTTGTTGATCAGCCACCAAATAACACATTTTAAATATTCCCTGAGGTTTTTTTGTGAGATACTTTGAGGAGGAAAGCCAGTTGATTGCTTTTTGAGTGTAATCATGTTCATCTTGCTGGAAATTGTTATAAATTTTAAGAGCATGTTAAAAGATATCTAGATGAGATAATTTGTCAGTCTCCCAATTCTTATGCAGGATCAACTGACTGACTGTTGTATGCTCTGATCTCCAAACTTTTTTGAAAAGCTGAATCATATGTTGTACAACCATTTGAGTGTCATTGTGTACTGGTTTTCTTTGATGCTACATAAATTTAAGAAAACTAATTGCTTTCATTTAAGTTCCATTTCTTAGCTCTACCTTAAAAATAAAAAAAATAAAACATCTTTTCACCAAAAGACTATGCTGACCAGTATGGATAAAACCAGTTTGACATGAAATAATGTGCTTAGCATTGTCACTAATGAGAATGATGACAACTGACATAAACTGGTATTTGAAAGGAATTTTTGCCTCTTCTCTCTCCCCATCGTTCTGTTTTCTTTGGACCTGTGGCTAAAACTCTGGTTGGTAACTGGAAACTAGGCTGGCTTAGGATGAAAAATATAGACCTTGTTTATATTGCATGTATCCCCTTATGTAACACATTTAGCATAATAGAACCTTCATTTTGTGTTAAGTGTGTACGTAAATCTTGGGTGTATAAAGTGTTGGACATGCTGTGTTTGATTTGAACTTGCTTATGAATGCTGATCTGACATAACTAGTATGTTTTCTTTTTCTCTTTAAAAAAAAAGTCTAAAATATTAATTTGTGTTAATCACAGATGGAAAGTCAAAAATTTTTAGCTGAAAACAGTGCTTCTGTATATATAAAGAAAGTAGAAGCTAGAATTAATGAAGAAATAGAACGGGTGATGCATTGTCTGGATAAATCAACAGAAGAACCTATTGTGAAAGTTGTTGAGAGGGAGCTTATTTCCAAGCATATGAAAACTATAGTGGAAATGGAGAACTCTGGGCTAGTTCATATGCTGAAAAATGGGAAGACAGAAGGTAAGACTGGGTCATGTGGGAGACAGAAATGTTTATGATACTGCTTATTGTTTTTAAACATGGGATAAGTCAAGCTTAATGATTGTGTTCCTGTGTAATTGTGAAAACACTTCAGTGGCTCTGTTCTGCAAACATCTGAGAATATTACTTCAGCCTTTTAGAGGGCTCTTAAAACATAGACTATATGCTTAACTTAATTCTATGCAGTACCAGTCACAGGTACTTTTTTTGGTTAAACCAGGTATCTCGTAAAAAAAAGTACAAATCTATTGCAGTGGTCTTTGTTACCAGTTTTCCATGAGCCATTTTATTACTTCCACTCCTCTAGTATATATCTGTCAAAATACATGAATTTTTTTTGGCCCACAGGCAGTTATTCTGAAAAGTACTTGTGTAAAAGACAAACAGAAGCATTGCAGGACCAATTCTTGTGGAGAGAACATTGTTGCAGGAAGGAGTTGGCTGTTTTTAAAGGATAAGAAGCAGCTTATTGAACTGGTTGGAAAAAGAAAGGGCTTGGCTTGATTTGGTTTTCCCTAATAGAGGTTAATGTGGGACAGAGTGACCGAATGAAAGTTCCTATGGAAAGAAATAGAACATAAGTTTCTAAAGCAGCATAATGAAGAGAGGGATTGTAGTATCTGTATTTAGAAATTGGTGCTCACACTAAAGCCATGAGAATGGGGAACAGACTTGCTGCTTAGATTAATGGCCTTTGTTCATTAAAGCAGCTTCACAATTACTAGGTGATAGAGCGACAGGGTGAGCACATTTCCTATCTGTAAGAAAAGATAGTTACTGTATTGAAAAGGAAAGTGATGATACCATACTTAACATTTTTTTTTCTTTAATATCCAGTTTAGATAGCCTTCAGGCTGAGGGTGCAAGGATATTGAAGGGTGTTCATAAGCTATAGAAATTAGTTTAACTTTTATAGGCCTTAGTTTGATTGAGTTAAATAGTAGAGTGGAAATACTTGCTGCATTATGATAAGATTTTGCATAAATGTGCGAGGATGGATTGCTCTTTTGGAAAGCCATGTTTAGCCTAAGCCACTTCTCATTATTTTAGGTGAATCTTTAGTTGTCATCTTTTGCTCTGAGATGAATGAGTTACACACATGTAACACAAGAGGTGTCCTGCATAATCTCTCATTCTTGCTTCCAGACCTTGCTTGCATGTACAAGTTGTTCAGCCGTGTGCCAAATGGTCTGAAGACGATGTGCGAGTGCATGAGCTCATACCTGCGAGAGCAGGGCAAAGCACTAGTGTCTGAAGAGGGAGAAGGAAAGAATCCAGTTGACTATATTCAGGTAGTTAAATATTTTAACGTTTTCTTTCATCTTTCCCACGTTCGTCACAGTAGCAGTTCACCACAGACACGATTTATAAGGTAAACCTTAATATCAATTCCAAAGGCATTGTTATTAATAAGCTAAATTTAAATTTTTTTTTAAATGTACGTTCTCTGAATTTTCAGACATGTTTAGAACTCTGGCTGAAATTGCTTGGAAAGTACATGCTCAGTTTTTGGTAGCTGCTTATATCAAACAACATATTCAGGCTAATTATCTAACTGCTGGGACCTTCTTAGATTACCCTAAATGACATGTCTCCAGAGTGAGTTCTATGTGTGCTGGCAAGTAGCTTTATAGTGTCCATTTTGATTAATTTTATGTAACACTAGCTATCAGTGTTTGTTGAGACAAAAATCACATGGCAATATTTCATGGCAAGATTAGCTGTGATTGAGAGGTAAATGTGTTTATCAATCATAACAAATTACTTGCTTCGTTCTCAGTCTGAGAAACAGAACACATCAGCATGTTAAAAGATGTGAGTGTTCTTTCTGTTCTCCATCTCTCACTAAGTGATGGGTACCATTCATTCATGAAGATCACAAAATATGCTTCAGGAGTATTTGTCATCTTTTCCATTGTTTCTGGGAAGATGGATTTAAATTTGCACATAAAATCTTAAGAGTTCATTGAACTTTAGGGATATGTTTCTGTAGCTGGAAGATGTCATATTTAATCTGAACATGTATATTCATTAAACATTAAGTTTGAGGTTTTTTTAAAATGTCTAGTTGAAGTCCTTGTGTCTGTTCTTTATGAGAAACATTTAATGTATGTCTCTTAATCTCTGCTGTTTTGTTTGAAAACAATAACTGTTAGAACTGGTTACTATTTGAAGAAGCCATTTGAGTATAAAAACATTTTTGATTGGATTAATAATTTTCTGGCAATGCTGAAGCAAACTTCTTACCAGATTTGAACAAGAATTACCTCTTCAAGGACTGTTAAAAAGCAGAGAGAATATCCTTTGAAATTTATTTGGGTAAATGATTAAGGGCTGTTACGTTTGTGGTGGTACAATTTAAAAAAGAGAGGAGGGGGTCAAATGATGTGGAGAATAAGTACTTTGAAGTAGTTTTCACTCCTAATGGGCCTAAAGAGGTATCATAAAAAATTTAACAGGGAAAGATTTATAAACTTAATTATAAAGATGGTATCAAGGTTTCCTGCTACAGAGGCAAACAGCATAATGAAGCTGAGGAGGACTTGCAGCTGTGTCCCACATGCTTTGGCAGAGCTCAGCCCTTAGTATGTACCCCAGCCATCTCAGGAAGATGTCCTAGGGATGGGGTTGATATTCAATTGCTGATAAACCCCCAGACAGGTTTATCACTTCCACTGAGGTGATGGAAGAAGAGAGAAACACACCTGTGAATTGAGAAACCATCTTGTACTTCTCATCTTGGCCGTGTTCAGCTGAATCTTTCAAGGACAATAGCAATAAGAAGACAGACATGGAAGCTGCATCAAGAAAAAAACATTCATCATAGCTCAGCACTGCTTCTGCAACTTGACATCACTAAACCCTGAGCAGAATTGGCGAGATGGTTGCAAAAGCATTGCCAGAGGATTAGGTTTAAACTTCATATAATAGTTTGAAGGGATGTTGAAATGCTGTTTTAATTTAAGGTACTAACAGTTTCTCCTGTTTAACACCAGGTTGTTCAGATGGTGTACTCCTGGAGAGGAGACATAAGCTAACCTTGGTAAACAGAGAGATAGTGGGATTTACTTTGAATTTAAAATTTCTAATACACATTAATTAGCCTGTCTAAAGGCCATTCCTTTAAGTGAGATGGTGAGTTCCCAAGAAACGTTACTACTTCTTTGAGTAATTCTTGAATGGCTTCTTTAAGTAACCACATATGAATAATTTCTTAAGAAACTGAGAACTTTAGTGTCATTTAACCTGGACAGTTTTTGTGGGCAATTGTTATTCGTGACAAATCTAAATTTCAAGTGAAATTTTCTCTCCTTGCCAAATGCTGTCTTAGTTATGTCTAAACCCTGTATGTGTCATATGCTCAGCTGATTTTAAGATGCTTCCCCCTTCTACACTCCGTTGCTTTAGCTCTGAATAAAAATTATGTTAAGAGTCTGATGATTTAGCTCAGAGGAAGTTGTTCAGTCTGGGCCTGTGTACTTCACACTGTGATAACTGGAGAGCTATTGCTTATATCTACCTTTCATATGCTCACAGTGACTCTTAAAGGTCAGCAAGAAACATGTGACTAAATCATGCAAAATACATCCTTGGATTAAATTAGAGGTGGGAAAAAGCCCTGACAAGTTTAGGCCTGTTGTTGCAGTGTGTTTTCTCCTCAGACTTGTTCAGTAGCTCTAGGGATGCAGTTGGTGGATGCTTAGCCTCAGCTTTCACATACCCTGTATTTATGGTAGTGACTTTGTCAATGTTGCTTGACATAGACAAGGCTTAACAAGTGCAACAAATACCTCCTTTAAGTTTTAGTTTTAAAAATGCAGTACATCAACCTGTTTACCAAGGGTGTTTAAAAACATTTCTTAGTGTGAGAAGTGTATTATAGCAAACTGCACCAGTATTTGATACCAATATTTTAGCAAATTTATCTGAAAATTGCCTAAGATATTTGTGGCAGCAACAGAAATTTAAAAATGGAAATGAAATTTCTGATACTTTCTAACGAACGCAGAGCATTGCAGAATCTCTGTAGATCTGGTCTTCTCTGTCTGTTGTTACTGTTTTCCAGCTTACAACTTCATATCAGTGAAAATTGTTTTTCTTTTCTTTTTTTTTTTCAAGGGTTTACTGGATTTGAAGAGTAGGTTCGATCGCTTCCTTCAAGAATCTTTCAATAACGATCGACTCTTCAAACAGACTATTGCGGGTGACTTTGAGTACTTCCTCAACCTCAACTCCAGGTCTCCAGAGTACCTCTCATTATTTATTGATGATAAGCTGAAAAAGGGAGTCAAGGGAGTAAGTATAAATGAACTTGTAATACCATGCCCTTTGCTGTGTAAACTGGGATGAAATTAAACTAAGCTACATTTCTATGAATTATTTTTATATTAAGAGAAATGGCAATACTAGCTAAAAAAAGTATGTGTAACACATCTGAGCTCATAACACTTTAGATCTAAACAGAAAAATCAGACACAAGGAGATCTCTGTGGCTTATCACCTACCTCTGAAGCAACATATGTGAATTACTTCTGGCAGATACTCCCTCAAAAATCTTAGGTAGTAGTAGATTCTGCAGCTCCCTTCTTTTGAAACCTTAAGTATCATTTCCTTAAATATATTGATATTTTGGCAGCTATTCCCAACATCTAGTAATTTCTTTTGAAAATTAGCTTACTTGGTATGGGGAAACGGTTTGTCTTTGCTTCTTTTTACTGTTTTTATATATCAGAGGACTATTATCTGTCTCTTCTAGTTTAAGTAGGGCTGTGTCCTTCAGAGTTAGCTTCTTTCATGAGATTTTTTGAGGTACAGAACCCAGAACTGGACAAGATGGTTCATCTGAGGCTTCAGTGGCTCTGAATAAAGCTGAATATTAGTGCATGCAATTTATGCTTTGGGAATCAAATGGTAAATTCTATTCATTTATAAAATAAGTAATAATTCTATTTGTTCTGGCACTAGGTGGGGCTTTACAAAACAAGTCTTAAAAGGTTTTCATTCCAAGCTAACCTTTCATACTCCTAATAGTGATTTCCTTCGGTGCTTTTTAAAACTTACCCAGGAACTTTTACTATGTTTATCAAGGCATTCTACCCATTTATTGTTTCCCTTCTCTCTTGAGAGAGAAGTCTATTTAAGTCTATTTCTTACTCCACTTTATTGAGTTTGGGCACCGTTCTTTTGGCTGTCGATCTCATGTTGGACCAGTTTTGTTGGCTTCTGTGTAGGCTACTGTTAGACCATCTGCTGCTGTGAATTACTCTAAGTGTTTGGGTTGTGTAAGACACTTGTGCTGGAAGATTAAAACCAGCAAATTACTTGTTTTACAGCTAACAGAGCAAGAAGTAGAAACTATATTGGATAAGGCAATGGTTTTATTCAGGTTTATGCAAGAGAAAGATGTTTTTGAACGCTATTACAAGCAGCACTTGGCAAGAAGACTTCTCACCAACAAGAGTGTTTCAGATGACTCTGAGAAAAACATGATATCCAAATTAAAGGTAAGGCATACTTTTTAGGGTTTTTTTCTCTTTCTTTTTTATTAGTCATAGATATGGTTTCTTCTGTTTTTACATAAGAGATTTATAGGTAACGTTAATCTTGATTGCTGTTAGATACAGAGTTGATTTTTAAAGCCCCAGCAGAAAATACAAAAGGTTTTTCTGACTAATTTCATGGAAATAAAAGGAAGGAAGTAATGGTGAACACCTGTGATGAAAGTGCAATCTAGAAAACAAAATAATTTTTTTTGAAACTTGTTAAGACTTTCCAAATAAGAGGACAGCTCCAGTGACTGAATTTGAAGACAATGCTGTTTTATCCTAGATTTTTTTGTTATTCACAGTAGAATTTTGTTGCTGCTTCTGTTGTTTTTTAGTTGCCTCCATCAGCAGAGTGGTGTTAATGCTCAATTAGTCCTTGATTAAGTAGTTTGAGATAGATTGAAAATAAATCTTCATATCAGTTGGTTAAATGTACTGATTAAATAGGCCAAGAGATGGAGAAGAAGGTAAAGCCTCAAGCGGAAAAGTCCTTGAAGCAAGTTCTAATGCAGCTTCTTCTTAAGCTGCATGATAAATGGCTAGAGAACTTCTGAACTAGAGGGATCTGATCCCAAAATCAAAAATCACTGATCCTCATTTTTGGCATATATTCTGTCAGTGAGCAAAATCCGTGTGCATCAGATTTCTCCAAATTGTCAGCGTTAATTCCTTTCTGATTACCTCTCCACCACTTTTATCCTGGTGATTTAGAGGGCACAGGGCATACATTTGCCAGATGAGTCAGTGAACCTGAACTGCCCTCTTTTCTTATGGAATTGCAGAGTGATCAGGATGCTGTGTCTGTGTGCATGTCCCTGATCCTCAAAAGGCCTGGTAATCTCACTGGGTGATCTGCAGCCAGCCTTTAAAACAAAACACTCCTAGAACAGCAGGAGTTTGCTTCTGATATAAATAAAATATATTTCCCTTTACAGTATAATGCTAAAAGGCAGGTGGAAGTGTATATCTTATTTTGATAAGCTTTCACAGATTTTTAAATATGAGATGGAAAGCTAAAACGAAATAAAAAATACAATAATGGAGAAAAGAGAAGGAAAACAGGTTTTGATCTCTGTAGGGTTAGATCCTTATATAAGATATGAAACTTTTCTAAAAGATCTGAATATAATGCAAATGGAAATCCCAGTAACAAAATGTACAGAAATACAGCTTTGAGATTTATAAACTTAGTCTTAGTCTTGCAGTTTGCATATCAGAAGCTTTGTTTTCATAGTGCTGGTACAACAAGTTATTTTGTGTATTTTCAGACTGAATGTGGATGTCAGTTCACATCTAAACTGGAAGGAATGTTCAGGGACATGAGCATCTCAAATACAACGATGGATGAGTTCAGGCAACATCTTCAGGCAACAGGGGTAAGAGTGTGGGGGTCTGTGTGCTTGTCCTTTTAGTTCAGTACAAACCCTGAACTTCTGTCGAGGTTTGTGGTTTTTCATTTGTTATTCCATGCATCTGCAGAGAAGGACTTTGTCAGCTTGTGGAAATTACGCTCCTTTTACTGTGTTTCTTCCCTTATAAACTACAATAGCATTTCCCGAAATGCTAAAGCCGGTTCCAAGCTTTGACGCACAGCTCGAGTAGTGGCAGTTTCGTTCCCTGAAGCCCCGTTCGAGCTGCTGTTGTACCCGCGCTGCAGGGGCGGTGGGGGCGCGGCGCGGCGGCTCTGCCCGGCGGCGGCCGCCAGAGGGAGCGCGGGGGCCGCCCCA